AATATTGGGGTTTTATTCATGACAAAGGTAGAAAAACAATTTGTCTATTGTAACAGCCCGTTGTACACTGGTATTGTTAACATTAATTATGATATTAAGCGCAGTTACAATCACAGCAATTCATTTATAAAAATGCGAGTAAACTTTTTCTGTTTATTACGCGAGCATTTAAAACAATAAAAAGCGTAATAAATAAAAGCTGTGACCGTAACTATAAACTCTTCGCAGAATAATTATTTAAACTACTTATATAACATACATTACTTCCCTCAAGTCACTAAGGGGTTCCCATAAACCCACTTAGCGAAAATCTTACTTTTACGTTTTCTACATATCCGAACATGGTTCGGTTTTTAATTTTCTGCGGACAAACCCCATATAAAAAGTCTCCCATCTTTAAGTATGTTATTCTAGACTCAATTATCTTTCTAGGAAGCTATCACTCGAGTCATAAAGTTCTCGTTTGCTCCGGATATCGCCGTTTGAAGTTGGACGAGCAAATCTGCCAGCCAACCACAAAACAGCTCCAAACATCCTTCACTCAATCAATTACTTCAGAAAATCCACTCAACCAATTCCTCTCAAATTTGTATACAACAAACTAGACTCCTCAAGATTCAATTTTATATATCATACACCTAATTTGACCAAGAAACGAAGCGGGAATAAATTTCCCAATTTTGGTCCAGAACTGCCCAATGTGCAGTATCCCACTGAACAGTCTGTGTTCTCTGCCCCCTATAGGCCGATTCTCAACCCATAATTTCCTCAAATTTTACCAAGAGATAAGGGACATCTCAAGATTTAAAATGGAATATGGAACGTCCCTATCGGACTTCTGTGGAGGGAGATATGCTCTCCCAAAGTTCGCCTAAAATCTGCCAATTTCTAGAAAATTCGCCACAGTTTCCTTTGTTTTTCCAATAATCCCCAAGTTTGCACAAGTGATCTATGACCTCAAAATATACCTAATAATCATTGGATGACACACACAAGGACCAACAATGTCTTGGGATTCTTACAACCCATCATATTTTATATTAATTTACTCAATTCATATCATATCGCTTACTTTGTTAACACTTATCATGTTTCAATCATCAAGGTCCATTTGCATGCATTTTCTAAACATACATATAAGCATAATCCTAAAATAGGCCTATGGCCCTTTCATCATATTACATATGCTTCATGGTTACATCAACTCATGTACAAATTACAAGGCTTCCAATGACATATTACAATTACAAACCTTAACCTTCAAATAATACATAATAAATACTCCAAAATAAACATGATAGAGAAACCTCAAAATGACATAATCCAAATGTAACTAGACTTAGGCAAAATGACATGAACAAATATGACAATAAATCTCCTCCTAGATATATATGCAATGTTCATGCCCTAAGTCTAGCCTAAGCCTAGAGTGCCACCCATGTCTATTAGGTACATTTGAGGCTAGTTATGCACTTATACAAAAGTGGGATTTAATGGAAAAACAAAAGAAACTCTGACAAAATTTCTAGAAATTGGCATAATTTGTGTGAAATTTGGAAGAGCATATCTCCCTACAAAAAATTCCAATAGGAACGTGCCATGCGCCATTGTAAAGCTTGAGATGTCAACTGTCTTGTGTCAAAATTTGAATTCAATAGGAGTTGTACGCCGCCTTGTAGAAGCCAGAGAGCACGGACTGCTCAGAACGCCCCTGCACATGGGGCTGTCTCTGGCAGTTTTTGGAAAATTTATTCCCGCTTCGTTTATTTGTTAAATTAGGTGTATGATATGTCAAATTGAAGCTTGAGGTGTCTAGTTTACATTATACAAATTTTAGAGTAACTGGTGGAGTGAACTTTCCATAATAGTTGAGAGAGTGAGGGCTATTTTGACCCTATTTGAGGTTGGCTGGCAGATTTGCTTGTCCAACTTCAAACGGTGATATCCGGAGCAAACGAGAACTTTATGAATCGTGTGATAGCTCTTTAGAAAGATAATTAAGTCTAGAATAATATAATCAAAGATGAGAGGTTCGCAGCATGCGGTTTATCCGCAGTAATTAAAATACCGAACCATGTTTGGATAGGTAGAAAACGAAAAAGTGAGATTTAAGCTAAGTGGGTTTATGTGAACCCCTTAGTGACTTGAGAGGAGTGTTATATGATATCTAGGAAGTTTATATTATTATTCCACAAAGAGTTATCAGTTACGGTCACAACTTTTATTTATTACGCTTTTATTGTTTTAAATACTCGCGTAATAAAAAGGAAAAAGTTTACTCGCATTTTTATAAATGAATTGTTGTGATTGTAACTGCGTCTAATATCATAATCAATGTTATCAATACCAGTACGTAACGAGCTGTTACAATATCCGGGTATTGACCCTGCGATATTCGGATATTGATATACAGATATGTCGCCGAGGAATATCAGGATATTCTGGGAAACATCATGTTTTGAGCTATTTTACACAAACATAAGCATGGGTTGGGTTTTTGGACCTTTAAATGATTGTTATGAACCTCTGGAATAATTTAATTAAGTCAGAACTCATAATATTGAAGGCTTATGGCTTTGAGAGAAGCCTACTGTCATTAAATGAAAAAGGAAACGTAGTCCTAATGCAATAAGCTTCTAGACTATGAATATTAATTATATTTCTGGTATAAACAGACCTTGATTCTACTGTTTGGTGATCTGTGAGCTGCTATTTAGGTCTTGAGCTTGATCATACTTCTTGACAGGTAAGTTCTGTCTTCTCAAGGTTAATCCTCATTTGTTCCACCATACTCCAAGAGGGGGATGGTAGTTTTATGCGGTATATGTGCTTATCTGTTATTTGAGATGATGAAATGATGCACTCTTATATATGTATGTTATGTGGTGTATTACATACAAGATGGTAATCCCTGAGTGTAGTGTGGAGCTACACAAGATTGTAATCCCTGAGTGTGGGTATAAGGTAGATGCCTTATGCTTCTTATGCGTGTAACAGACGTGCGTAAACCATGCGTTCTCTGGCCAGTAGACTTGTTAGTACACATGCATGATATATATATGTTGTTGCATCACGTGATTATGCTATTATTGTTCAACTGTTATATTTGAACTGTTATACCAAAGTGAGCTTGGGGCGGAGGAATCCCTATGAGAACCATTGCTTACTGAGATTTCTGTTTAGAGATCTCACCCCATGTGGGGCACATTTTCAGGTACAGATGTCCATGCGATGGATGCTTCCCGAGGGAAGAAGCCGGAGTAAATTTTATTTGAGATGCATGTTTTATTTAGATTATTATGGATATGATTATTGTACCGCGACATGAATATGTTACCTGAGATATGACTACTATGACATTATGTTTTTACCAGACTATGTATGTTTTATTTGCTTATGAGCATAGGGATTGTCCATGCCTTTGATTTATTTGTTATTGTTGAACATGTATGTTTTGTATACGCCATAAGATATGGATGTTGGTCATGACTACGCGATGTAGCTTCATGACTTAGTATTTATTTATGATATTGAGGCATTTTCAGGATTTTATTCGTGGTTTTTAATTACATAAGGATATAAATGGATTTCATATTGCTATGTTAATAAGGGAAAATGTGATCTGGCATGTCTAATAACTGATTTTATTTTAGCTTCCGTATTTAATTGAGCTGCGCTTAATACCATAATATGATAACAAATCCGGATGTATACGAAGTGTTACATTAGTCATTGTGTCCATTGTTAACCTATGTGAGACTACACACCTCACACTTGAACTATAAACAATTAGATCTAGTACTACTTTAACCAGGTAATAATTTGATTTTTATATTGATATATAAGTTATAATTCATACATATCATATAATCTAAGACTTTTTCGCCTTTTGGATAATTCTCGAGTCTTACTTTGTAATGGGGATCATACTTGATTATAATTGGATTCATGGGTTCCAGTGTGTAATCCCTTGATTAATTACATGACGAAACACTTATCAGAGGATGTGAGGGAATGTACAATGTCCTCTTGCACTACGCACGACCAATGGCTCCTGGAACTGGTTGTCCTTCCAACATCTGTTCCTGATCTCAATCATGGAGAAAATATACAATATGTTCTATCTAGGGGTGTTAACAGGCCGAGCCGAGCCGAGCTTTGATCTTAAAAGGTTAAGTCTGTGTTTAAATGTGTCGACCTTATCAAGCTTGCTACCTGTTATAAATATAATTATCAGCTTGTGGCCTGCCTTATTTGAAAAAAATAAAAGCCTAATTTAGCCTGTTAGCCTGTTAAAAAAAATAAGTCAATAAAAATTTATCCAAACAGAATATACAATCAACAACACTAGTAATTCCATAAATATTCATAAATTCAATGTATATCCAAACAGCATAATATAGAACAAAATCATTCAAAAAGTCTGTTTAACTAATAAAATAGGGGTGCAATGGATTGAGAGGAGAGATGACTATTACAAATAGTATAAAAAATATAAATAAAAATAAAAAATTAATATACTAGGTCAGCCTGAGAGGCTCCAAGGCCGAACTTTTGAATTATAGCCTGATGCCTTTTTACTAAACGAGCTTTTATAAAAGTCCATGTCTGGTTCCAACAACCAATATTAAGCATGTAAGCTTAGGCCTTCACGAACCGAGCAAAAGGCCCTTGAAAGGCCCCTGGCTCGTTTATCACCCCTAGTTCTATCAATCCAACGCAAGCCGCATAGATAGAGTGATATATGACATACGCCAAAACCCCCATAATTTGAAATTATATTATTTCATTCTGTATGTACCAATCTATGTTGTTTTTAGTGGTCTGCATCTATTTTGTTCATTGAAATTTTTCTGGCGGGCCTGATTTTTTAAAAAACCCGAACTTGACTAAGGCTTCAACTTAGCAAAAATCAAACCCGGCCCAAACCCCAATTAAGCTAGGTTTTTTTTAAAAATATTTCAAGTTTAACTGTTTCTGATTCTCTTTTTCGGTTTCGTGTTAGGATCTCTGATTGCATTCATGTGCTTATTATGGAAGAGATAGTTGGATCTTCAACTATAAAGTGATTGTGTACGATCTGTTCACCGCGTTGTTAGTTCTGTAAGGATTTTGTTAAATTATAATTTTGTGTGGTGGTTGTTGACAGCGTGTTATTTCCTGCAGCACAATCAAAAGGACATATTACAATTGCTTTTGTTCGAGTTTTGAAGTACTATTCTGAAGGAGTTCTTGAGGTATTTTTTATTTTTAGTTTTGAGTAATGTGTTTGTGGATTTGTGGCATAACAACAACATGTGCGACATGGAATTTGAGGAAAAGAATGTTCTATCGGTACTCGTAGCACTGCACACAATTTGCATCTTCAACTGTGGATGGTGTTTTTTTTTAATTACTCTAATGGAAAATTAAATATTTGATATCTTGTAATGCGCACAATCTTACTCTTAGTTTAAAACTCTGTTTCCCATTGCTTTATGATTTTGAATCATAATTTGGATGTCTAGGCCTGATTTAATTAGTCTTTCAAGAAGACATAGATTATAATGTTTGAAAATGCTTCCTCGCCTATTTGTATGACCGAACTATTAGTTTCATGTTGGTTAGAGGTAGAGCTTCATTGTATAATTAAGCAGAGATAAGGTTTTGTCTCTCTGATTAATTAACCTCTTCAATACAGATTTATTATCTGGAAAGGACTAGTTATTACAGCTACGCCTACCATCCCCCCTCCTCTCTCTATCTCTCAGCTGAGTGGTGAGATCTGAATCCTAACAACAGATAATGGTAGTGAAGTACACGCGCTTCTATAGTAGTAAAATCATAGGCTGACCAACCCTATGTCCGGTGTCAATTTTTTTAATAGGAGAAGGTTGGACCAAGTGTACCAACCATTCTAATTTAATTTTTCTTTTTTTTTTTTCTTTTTCATATAATACCATTTTCAAATATAATACAGACTATGTATCCAAAATATCCAAAAAGGAAAGAGAACCAATGGGAGCAAAGAACTGTACCTGTAAATTATAACAGTAAAAAAGAATTACTTTTAGTTTTACGGTAACACTTTTTTTCCTTTTATATTAGGAAATTAGTTTAGGTATTAATATTAAAATAATAAAAAGATATAAATGAGAAAGTTGGAGCTTGGAAATGAAAGTAGTAGAAAGGGGTGACAAGATGTGCAAAGGGCGTAGACATTTTCATTTTTAGTTCGTAATTAGATATAATATGTTATGTTTTTTTATGGCATGATGTGTTAACTAAATAAAATATGACGATACTGTTGGATTTTTTAGATTGACTATATATAGCTTGTTATTTGTTGATTAGTTGCTTTACTGTAAAATTATATATTGTGTTTACTGTAAAACATAACACTTTAATATGTTATGTTCTTTCTTCATTCTCTGATCAGTTTTCTTTTGCTTCTCGAACTGCTGTCAATCGGGTTGCCTCTGTGAACTCCTGCTAGTGAGTATACTGATCTCTTTTTTTTTTTTTTGATTCATTTTAATGTTCCTATTTTCATTGATTAATGATTCTGCATTCTGCTTCATCTTGATTCTTGTTTCTTTATCATTTCCAACCAGAACTGGCCTCACCACTCACATTTCCTTGTTTTTCATTTTAACTTGTTATCATCACCACTCACATTCCAATGGTGATTGAGGAAATGATTTGTTCATACATATTTTTCTTGACAGTACTACCAGTGCTGTGACTGTCCGAAGCACTATTCGAAAGCTGAGAGAGCAGACTGAAAGCTGAGAGCAATTTACAATATTCATTTTATTTTCAAATTCTATGCATAAATTTTGTTGCTTATTTAAAATTGTCACATTATTTTTGAATAGTTTGATGGAGAATAGAACTTTAGAAGGGTTTTGTTAAGTATTTTAGTAATATTACTTCATATATTCGAATGCTACCATTACGTTTTTGAAGTCTTGCTTCATCTGATGGGGAATGAGTCAGTTTCTGTTTATGTTTCTGCTTCTCGTTATATTATTACCTTATGTTGCTTTTTTTTTTCTGCATATACAAGGAAGTTATATCTATTGATTTTTTTTCTTCACATGGCTCCACTATGTTATGTTATTTAAAAAAGTATTAACCAAGTGCAAACATAAATATAAACTATGATTGGTGTGCTATAGTGTTGCTTTTGGATAACTAGTATTTAACAATTGTTTTCAAGGAAATGTTAAGAGATCAAACAAATAAATAATAAATTGGCTAACAAATTAAGTGATGGGCCCAATTCCAAAATTATGATATACACACTTTTCAAATTTGGATAACTAGTATTTAGTGGAGATTTAAATATGCCAAAATAATAAATAAATCGTAGCAGTGTATGCTCTCTAGAAAATGATGATTTTTGTGGAGGTTACTAAATCCCAATAAATAATACAACATTTGTGGGAGTCTTAAACCTCCAGAAAGTGCAATATTTGTGGGGGTCTCGAACTTCCAGAAAATACTTCAACAAATTGTGGCGCTGCACAAAAAACTCCCACAAACTATGTTGTGGCGAAGGCAGAACTGGGGGTTTGGGTGAATGACACAAATGTCTTTTGTGGGGGGTCAAAGACCTCCACAATATGAAAATATGACCTCCACAAAATGCCTGAATTTTTGTAGTGTTCAACTAGTCTCTTATAAGCTATACATAAATTGAAGAAGAAAAATAAAAAGACACGTAACCTAAAAAGACACAATAAACTAGTAAACCTAGATAACTCCATCAATAAATGATCTTCTCATAACTTTAGTGTACCCACATGTCCATTACACCACTTAAAGGTTAGTAATTGTTCAACTTCCTCAAATAAACTAAAAGAAAATGAAAGGAATATTCAAGATTTCCTCCCTTAAATAGATGTTCTTCAAACATTCGGCTTATTTAAATTCTTGTAGCATTCTCCACTGAACGTATGGCAAGTAATGCCCTAAGCTTCTTAAATGCATTATATTTGAGAGGTTCGATAAACTAATCAGGAACTTGATCTTCACTTCTGCAAAAAAACAAGATCAATTAAATCATCCTTTGTAATCTCCCTTAAGAAATGACACTTCATTTCTATTTGCTTTCTCTTTCTATGTAGAGTTGGATTCTTTAACAATTTAACTGCAGAATTATTGTCACAATAAATTGAAGTTGCTCCTTGTTGTTTGAATTGAAGTTCTTCAATAATCTTCCTCAACCAAATAGCTTGATATCAGGTCTTGTTGCAGTCAAATACTAATGGCTTCCCACAATTTTCTTGTGGAGTGTATTGTCAATTTTTCTTCCTTAAGATCTTTCATAAGCTTCAATATAAACTCAGTTTGTGTACTCATAGATTTACAATTTTTCAATTGAAACCTGTCTAAATTTTTTTGGATATATTTCTTTTGTGAAATTAAAATTCTTGCTGTAGATTGAAACATCTAAATACCCAAAAAGTAATACATCATCCCAAGATCAAATATATCAAATTTATCCATCATAGACTTCTTAATTTTCAAACCTAGCACTATCATTTCCAGTAAAAATCAGATGAGCCACATACAAGCAAACAATAAACAACTTTCCTTCCTCACCTCTTTTTAATAGAAAGTGTATGTTTATATGGAATTTTTTTAAAACCTTCCTTCAAAATATAAGCTTTAATACAACCGTAGCAAGAACGTGGAGCTTGTTTTAGACCATATAATACCTTTTCTAATATATAAACTTTGCTTTCACTATAAGGTTTCACATAACCAAAAGCTTGGTAAATGAATAAATGTTCTTGAAGATCAGCAGGTAAAAATGTCAATTTTACATCCAATTGGAATATAAGCCAAGAATTATGAGCTAACAAAGTAATAACCGATCTAATTGTAGCATATTAGGCAACTAGAGCAAAAACACATTTATAATCCACACCAAACTATTTCTTAAAGCATATAGCTACTAAGAGTGCCATGTACTTGTCAACTTTACCATTCTTTTTCAATTTTGTCTTGTACACTCATTTGACACCAATTGTCTTTTCCCCTCTAGGAATATTAATTAACTGTCATGTATTATTTCTTTCAATTGTAGCAATTTCCTCATTCATTACCTTTCTCTATTTTTCTTCTTTCGCAAGCACTTCAAGATTAGTACGACAACAATTAGCAAAAAGAGCAAAATGCAGAAGTGCGTCCTTGGATTGGTGAATATCAGTTACCTCATAATCAGCCATCCAAGGTCTCCTTTCAACACATTGAGGCATATCCTCTTGTGCAATAGTTGGAATTTGTTGTTCATTCTCCTAAAGTTGCTATTTTTTATCTTGGTCTTCATCAAAATCAGTAAGAATTTGTCCAATAGCTTCATTTCTCTACTTCCAAAACTCCTATTCATCAAAGATGACAACACAATCGATAATGATTCCCTTAATGTTAGGATTATATAATTTATAGGCTTCTAATTTACCACTAACACCAAGAAAAATGCATTTTTCTCCCTTGTTGTCTACCTTTATCCTTTTTTGGTCTGGAATATTGGCATAGGAAACACACCCAAATTTTTTGAAGTGCTCTATGTTGATCTTTGACCGCTCCATGCTTTCTCCGGTGTCATGTTTTCAACAAGTGTGATACTTGTAAGAACCCGCACCGTTAAATTGGAATTTTAGTAAATTCATAATAATAATCAAATATAAATTTAGGAAATTATTCCATAATTAAAATAGGATAATTAGAGAGAAACTATATTTATTTAAATTAAATCATTTTTCGGAGGAAAACTGTAAGTGCTATGCATTTCGCAGTAAAAATGTGTACCTGAAATAACCCAAAATGTAAAAGTAAATTAATGGAGATTACTTGAAAATATATTAAGTCAGTAAAACAAAGTTTGAAAGAACTAATACTGGGTAGATTAAGTGAGCGGTCTAAAATGACTAAAACCCCTAAATTCCCTCCCATTCTTCACCAAGTCTACGTAGAACACTCATTCTAAACCTAGAGAGCACTTCTCTTCTTCTCCAAGCAAGCATGAGCTTTCTTCCACGAAAACCATCAATGACACTATCTTTCCTCTCCTTTACCCATTTTGATCACTCTATATACCTAAAAGCAAGCACCTTGGTGAGGTAAAATCTCTTCTTGGAGTGTCATAGCTTCTGTTTTATGAGAATTGAGGGTTCCCATTCTTTGTTGTGTGGTTTGAAGCTAATTTCACACACATTGAAGCACCAAGGAGCCATCTTTGTGGAAAAAGGACTAAACTTTGGAAGCTAAATGTAACACCTCGTGTTAACCCGGTTTGTTAACATGTCATCGTATTAAGCCACACTTAATTTAAAAATGCGAAAAAACTATTTACTTTCAATTATGACGTCATTATCATTACCAAGTTGAATTATTTAATTCATTTCCAAAACATTTCCTGTATGTAATTGCAAGAGACAGCTAACCGAAATACCTCATATATAAAATGTGTATCTACTCACGGATCTACAACACGTAGTCCGGAGAATATCCTGATAGTTTATACAAAGCCAGTCAAAGTAAACAAGCATAAGCAGTGTGGCATGGACAATCCCCATGCTCACCAAATAAGGCAACAACAGTCCCAAATCAAATAACATGACAGTAAAGATAAAGCAATGTCAGCATCCAACAAAATCATCATAATAGCATGCAATCAGCTAAGCTCCGACCTCTTGCCGCTAGAAGTCTCAACCCCCACATTACCTGAACCTGAAATAGTGCCCCAAACATTGGGTGAAATCTCTAAACAGAAATCTCAGTAAGACAAGAGGTCATCAAGGATCTTCCACCCCAAGCTCACTTACATGTGCAATATAAGTTCCAAAAGCATATAACCATATAAGTTCCAAAAACAGAGCAATGCAACAAATAATCATGTCATGTGTGTTCTAACAATTCTACTAATCAAAGAAGTGCATGAATACGTCTATTACCCACACAGTAACAACCCATGTTGTACCCGACCCCAGGACCAAGCTAACTATCCAAGCCAAGCTCACACTAGCTCAATGCCCACAAACAGCACAATCACAATCTGTTTAGATCAAAAATATCATCAATAACCATACTTTAAAGGTTCATTTCATTATGACAACATTTCCTTTTTCGTTTATATCTTTTCTAGTTTATAATTATCAAACATTAAGTCACTCAATTAAAGGTATCACTGTTTCCCAACAGTAACACCAACTACCTAGGCCATCATGGCCAAAAGGGTACTTTCCCACACATAAAACTGGTCACTGGTCATTTTCACAGGTGGTAATCGATTACCAAGGACATGGTAATCGATTACTGAACTAGGTAACCGATTACCAAAAACATGGTAATCGATTACTGAACTAGGTAACCGATTACCACGCGGGCAAAACATAATTCTGCAGAATTTTTCTGCACAATCCGAAGCAAAACTGTCTCCCATTGATCCAAGGTTCAGTTTTGACCCAAAACAGATGTTCATTAACACTCATTAACCCTAGATTAACAACCTTAAGCTTGAATGATTAAAGTTATCTCATTTCATAACATAAACAAGCTATTTTAATGAAAATTCAAGGGAATGTTCAAGGTATACCTATGGAGGTTCAAACTCAGCATAAAAGTAGGCTCTTGGAGCTCTCCAAACTGACCCAAAACTTAGGTTCAACAAAGCCACGAAAATGTATCACAAGATTGGACCTTTCTCCACCAAAATGGCACCATGGGGCTCAAAAGTGCCAAGAAGATGATCCCTCAACCCCAAAGCAGAAACTCAACCTCAAAAACCTTACCAAACTGAGACCACACTCAGTAAAGGAGGCACCTTACACCCTCACAAGCTCAAAGCACACTCAGCCCAAAAGATTTAGTGAACAGAACAAGAAGAAA